GCGTACGATCTGAATGTTCGTGTACACTCTTGACTTGCATGCATCAAAGCAGGCCAATTTACACACTAGAAAAATACCAGTGTACTAATACATTTTTATATTATTACATATGTATAACTATAACTGTATTTGTCAGAACACTTTGGCTAATATGTAAAAAAAAAAAATTAAAAAGAAGTGAATCCCTACCTGCCAACCCAAATTTTTTCCAAAGTGTAATAGGAAACACAACAAGACACAGTTTTGTTGAATGCCAATGGAGAAAAACTGTTGTCCCAACATGTTTTCCTGTCCAGCATCTTCTGAATTACACCCCAACAGTGGCCTTTACCGGCCAAACAGAATAAAACACGACCACCAGTCCCTTTTCATTACCCTCAGCACAGGCCGGGGGATACCCAGCCATTGGAAATCAATGCTTTTCCATCTGAGAAAGATAAAACTCTGCTTCCTATTAACTAGTGAAGTGGCTGAGCAGATGGAATTAAGCCCAACAAGGTGGCTAGAAGACATGCAGGTAATCTTCTTAGCATAACAGGCTGTCAGGAAGAACTAATTATATTTTACGGCGCTGATCAGGGTCAGACATCTTGTACGACTTTGTCACTTCGTTACCCGCGTGAAGAATGCAAGTTTTAATTGAATTTTCTGATCTATTTGGTACCCTCTTAAGTCTGACTTTTCATCATAGATATTACAGTTTTCTTTCAGACTTATTATTATCATACAATGCATTGCTGACTTTGCAACATCACTCTTATATGTAATTACAGTATTTCATTTCATTAATTACAGGATCTTCCTATAAATGTAAAGACTTAATGAGATGGCAGGGCTCGAAATTAACATTGTCCCAGTGTCAAATGACACTAAATTTTCAGCTTGGGACAATTCAAATTACGTTTCGGGACAATTTTGGGGCAATTGGAAAATTCTAAGACCATCCACGTCATTTGGGAACGCGATCCATCCATTCTGCTGCAGACTGCTGGCAGCCTATAAATATATAATACTCTGACAAACATTTAAATTTGACCAATCAGGGATTCCAAATATCAGGGACGGTGCCATGCCCATGATATTATCATGTATTTCCCTACATTTACTAATTAAGTGGACTTCAAGTTGTACAAATTCAGTTGTTGTTTTCTTATTTTTGTCATCAACTTATTTCTTGAAAAGCAGGCTGGGACAGTCCATCTTCAGTTCGGGACAATTGAAATCTATGTTCGGGACAATTCTGGGACAATAGTGAAAAAAGTTAATTTCGAGGCCTGGATGGATGCAGATAATCATAATGGCTATATGAAAAGGATTGTATAAATGTATTACAAAGTATATATACAAAGTAGGGCTGGAAATACCACCTGCATATGCAGGTTAGTGCAGGTAAAATTTGAGCTTTGTAGATATTTCTGTCTACCTGCATCTAATCTGTACCTGTCCATGTGTATTTGGGTTACATAAAAATGTAGGACAGGTGTATGATTGTGTATTTTTATTAGCTACATTGACTGGTCACTGTCGTGAAAAAAATTAGTGGCAATGGTTTCTGATAAGTTTTAGTATGATCCCTACTTCTTAAATTCTGAGTGGTGCAGGTAAAATTTGTCTGGTGCACTAGTTTTCAGTGTTACCTGCATCAGTGCAAGTATGAAGATAAAAGTATTTCAAGCCCTGAAAATATACGCTAGTGTAGAACTCTTTCTAAGAGATGAGGTCTTTCTAAGAGGTCCAGTAATGATAAAACACACAGTGCAGGTATTGCTGATGAAGGCAAAGTCACCAGTCAATACCCAGGAATGATTAAAGTTCTCACTAGCCTTGCCAACTCTGTCCCACTGAACTTCTCCCACAGGGTAAGACTAGTACTGTTTTATCGATCGCTTAGCCCGGAGAAGGCCAGCTATAAAGGAAAATACCATTTACTATCAGATACGCGTTATTGCAGATATTGATATTGATATTCATTTTCTTATGATATCCGCAGGCTAGAAACTTGTTCTGACTGTGCTGTAGTATTATGGTGTCAATTTCTCACTATGGTAGATTCTTGTCACAATTCCATAATGTCAAATAAAGAAAACATTACAATATTTCTCTATTGTGAATATTTAACACTTGTATTGTCGGTAAGGAAAATATATGCGGTATTACAAAAATGATACAGCGTATTGGGAGCAATAAAAGAACAATGGGATCTAAATTATGATCAATAATTTGTTGCACATTACATGTTTGAATCTATTTTTATGATAAAGCCAATAATAGATAGCTATAGGGATGTCACTTGTCTCGGGTGAGTTGTCTGATGTTTCCCCATTGCTCTAGATATTATCTCTGATACTGTATATAAGGCCACAGCAAGTAAACTTTATGGATGACATCCTCAGCAGACTCCAAATCTAATGCGAGCAGGCAAAAAAAAAACAAGACAGGCCGAAAAAACAAGGTTCCTACATTTTAAAATTTTGACTTGAGCATTGCACAAATAGCTTTGATTCAGTGGGAACATCACATATACACAGCCAGCATCACATATCACTGCATCAAAGTAAGAAACAAAACATTATTTAAATCAGAGCCTTTTCCTGTCTTCATAGTTATCAGCCATCCACCCTCCGGCATGGCAACAGACATCTTTGCCCATTTTTGGCATGTTGACCACTGTCAGGTCTCTCCAAAATCAGGTGAAAATTAATGCGCACACTGATGTCATCCATAAAAATTACTTGCTGTGGCCTATAGGACTACCTGTGAGTGAGGTAAACCATGCAGACATTATGCCAATGGCCCCTCTTCATCCATAAATGTTTTTCATTTTCTAAGAATTGATCTGAGTTGAGTGAAGGGTTTGGTCGGCTGGGTTTCCTTATTGTCAGAGTGCAACAGGGAATAGCTAGTAAGTTGATATCGGCTTCCTGATATAAGGAAACTGCAGGAAATGCCAGTTTTAACACATATATCATTGTGGATAAGGATAGTGCGTAGTTATTGATAAAGCATTGTTGCTCCACATTCCTCAGGTTGTGCAATAAGTTAACAAGCTGCTAGGGGGCCCAAACTCATGTCACTTCTTCCCAAGCCCAACTGCTATCTACCATCCAAAATTTGTGACCCAAGCTTGTCTGGATCCTGAGATATTGAAGCTGAAAGTTCTGCTGCAGTACTTTACTAAGTCACCAGGGGTCTCATCAATGCCTACCCACCTACCAAATATAAAGGCAATCTGTTTAAGCCTTCTCAAGTTACACATACACACACACACACACACACACCAAACACACACACATAAATGCCACTGAAAACATAACCTTCTTTGTGGAGGTAACGAAAAGAATACAGCCTTAGCTTGCTGGAACAATTTTAGTTGTGCACATTATATATTAAGTCCTGATATACATTTGTATGCATATCTTAGCCACATTTTGATTCATGTTTGTGGTATCCAAACAGTATAGTCAGACAGTTGAGTTAATGATATTCCTTTATGATTATTTTATCTAGCCCCCCCCCCCCTATAAACTTCCAGTAAATATTGCATTAGAATCTAATAACAATAAAATCAAAAATCAAATCCAGCCCCACCTGTCTGTCTTTATGATTCATAGCTTCGCATCAAACAAGTTGTTGTATTGATTATACTGTTATTGGAGCTGCAGTTATTCTGACAGCATATCACGCTTTATAGCCCATACACCGAGGCAAAGACTTGTATAATATTAATGTTAATGTTAGATGGGGGAGATGTATATCGATGCTTATGACCTTACAGTAATGTAATAGTAGGGTTGGTCTTGATCTGGTATGATAGTATCAATGATACATGGATGGGATGGGTTGAATCCAGGTTACTCTGTATTATTAATAAGCGATTGAATATTAGGTACGTTTGATGATCAAATAATTTTTGGGGTACAATATTTTAGTATAAAAATTTTAGTATCAAGTGTCAAATTACAACAATGGTTGAACTCTTTTGTTTTATCTTTAGCTTTATTATGTTTACCGAAGGAAACATTGTTTTTGCTCAGTTTCTTCTTCTTCTTCCATTCCAAACACTCAGACCTCTGACCTAGTCAATGACCAGACTGTCTCTCTGAATGGTGTTACTGTTAGGTACATAATGTTGCAGTTTTTTTAGTAGGAGGGATTTAGACTCCTGTCACCATATATGTGAATGCGTTTGTGTTTGAGAATTATCAGAGCAGACCATAAACATAATGCATTTGCTTTGCAAATGTTACTTTTCTTCAAGTATGTATTTATATGTAACTTAGGTAGCACACAAGCTAACTCTACTGTATCAGACAAAAGATTGTTGGCTACTACTAGTAGTACTAGATTTTCAAGGATATTACCATTAGCCCCATTATCAAGTTGTGGGGCTAAATGATATAATCAATGTGCCGATACAGTAATAATGTTGGACTGACACTGTGGGGCATACATCCCTTACAGTCAGTCAAATGCTCTTAGGCCTAGGAAAAAAATGTTGTGTTTCCTGTTTCCCAACCAATCCTAGAAAAAACTGCCGACCCTAGACTTATTTATGTGGGCCCCTGAAAGATAGATAAATTTTTCGAGCTGATCAACCTTTCCTAGCTCCATGATCTGACACCTGAGTGATGAAACATTGTACAGTCAGTTTTCCAACATTGACATGGAAAATATAAGTGTCCTCATGCAAGATTTACTTTGGTATAAACCAAGGAGGTTTAGGTGAAGGCCTCCATGGCTAAACTGTATTGTACAAGCTTGATCACTAGAGATTGCCAAAGTCTAAAAACAAAAGAAAGAAAAAGATAATTCCTACCTACCGGCCCTAATTTTTCCGGACTGAAACAGGAAACACAATGTTTTTTACCCTAGGCCTTACTTGAACGTACACTTCAAGCCTACCAGACTCATAAAGATCCGTCGCACCTTCGGGCACTTTGTGCCCTCGTAATGATATTGATCTAAAGACCATCATTTGTGTTTTTCTGTCAATATCGCAGGGCAAGGACTGACCAAGGACCTGCGACAGTACCTGAACACCAGGTTCCAGAAAGGCTCGGTGGATCATGATCTACAGCAAACCATCCGAGACAACGTCTACCTGAGGACAGTACCCTGTAAGTAACTCATCTCTGTAGTAGTAGTTTAAACCTTCTTTCTACCGAAGTTGCCTTTTGGCACCAAATTTGCATGGATTATGTAGTGTTAGGCTTGCTAATCTCCAAGCAGATCCCACACTGGTGTCATGATCGAAGCTGGTGTGTTATACGCCGAAGGGCAGTTACAGTACTATTAACTTATACCAGCTATACAGATACAGATACATTGGCAAGACAGTATCCATTGGCCAGAGGAGTGTCCTTCCATGGATACCAGTGATGGACACTCCTCTGACCAATGGATACTGTCTTGCCACCATAGGATCTGCTTGGAGATTTGTGTTAGGCAGCGGGTACCATGAGAAGAAAAATTATGGCAGGTTTCATCTGTAGAATTATAATCAGCACTTGAGTCTATATTTAGAAAGGCAGAGATGTTTATGATGATTAATCACAGTTAATCTTTTCTTAGTATCAATAATTAAGAAACAAAGCCTAACTGAAATGTGTCAAAATCAATAACCAGAATGATTGCTGGTTCCGGAGTATATTGTGCAGTAGTCACTTTTTTACTATGGTTGTTATGCTGTCTGTATGTCGTATACTTGTATATATCAAAAGGGTTACAACATCTCGCTTGGTAGTGACACCCAACCATTCTTATTGCAACTAGCCCTGCATGACCTAACATTGCCGGTGGAGCCAGTGATCTTTACGGTATACACTGTGCCTCTACTCCTACATTAGGTGCCTGTGACAAAGTGCACTCTAGTCTTTGTCGTAAAATGTTATACTGGTGAACTAGGGAAGTATATTATCAACATTGAGGATGAAAACAGGAATAACACAGTAAAGATATTGTAAGGTATATATATGTCGTAAAATGTTATACTGTTGAACTAAGGACATGCATTATCAACACTGAGAATAAAAACAGGAATAACATGTAGTAAAGATATTGTAAGATATATATGTTGTAAAATGTTATACTGTTCAACTAAGGACATGCATTATCAACACTGAGAATAAAAACAGGAATAACATGTAGTAAAGATATGGTTAGATATATGTAGGGATTAAACTTGTCAGCAGCATTTTACAACTCACAAGTACATGTACAGTATATGTAATAGGAATGGGGCTGTACCTGTGTGGTTAACCTCAAAAGTCGTTAACAAGTACCCCTTCACAACCGCATACTTCATTTTTGGATAAGAGCATGCCTTAACCTACAGCTACAGTAGTTAGCACTTGAAATATTTACTGTTTATAGCCATGAGTTGAAGTGAAAAGTGAATTTTGACTGCTAGAATATCATGACTGGATGCCAGCACACACCTGTAAGTTGAGTGTATAAAACCACATCAGGGCTCGAAATTAAAGGTGGTCCAGTGGCCACTGACCACTAAATTTGAGGCTGGGACAACTAAAAAGACACTTTGGGACATTTTGGGGACAATAGAAAAACAAGAGTTCCACGATCTCATACCTTCGCCAAATGATGTTAACCCTTGCGGTTGACGAATTATACAATTTTAATAATTGATTTCGTAAATAAGAGCGTCATATGCATGGATTACATCAGTTGATCATATTCTCTACCCAATGGCAGCCTTATCTTAACAAAGTAGGCTATTCTAGCACTTCCTCATAAATTATGCAAATGAGTTCATAATGTGAATAAATTATCTTCATTGATGTTCACCTTCACTTAACTTCCAAATACGGCAAGTATGAAATTCCCAGCAATTACAACTATGAAATTATAACAATTCTCCATTGATTATGTAAATTAGGTCTTCATTTACATAATCTATATCCTCAGATGTTTTTCTAGTTCTCAATTACATGTCACAAGTGTTTCAAAGTCCTATAATCGAACGAAGCAGATTTATAGAATGTCCTCATTAATTATGCAAATTAGCTCCTGATTTGCATAATTGTCATCTGATTATGTCAAGTATCACTTCAGCTACCTACATACCAAAAATCATGACAATCCTTCAACCGGTTCTTGAGTTATCAACCTTCGGAGATTTTTTCAAGAAACGCTCCTGCAGTTCCAGAACAAGCTGCTAGGGGGCCCAAACTCATGTCACTTCTTCCCCACCTCAAGAGCTATCTACCAACCAAAATTCGTGACTCTAGCATGTCCAGATCGCGAGATATCAAAACCAGAAGTTCTGCTGCAGTACCAACAAAAGCCGCCAGGGGGCCCAGAATCTAATCATTTCTAGGTCTCATCAAGACCTACCCACCTACCAAGTTTCATGACAATACATATTAAGCTTCTTGAGTTATGCTGTTCACAAACAGACAGACAAACGCTACTGAAAACATAACCTTCTTGGCGAAGGTAATAACATCAGAATGTCAGCCCCCTTTTTTTTATCAGGCACACGTCCCAGCTTTTGGCTCTGGAAAAGTCCCCCCAAACTTCCTGTCTACTCTGGGAGTCAGAACGTAAGCAAAATAAAGTTGACTTCGAGTTGAAGTCATACATACTTCCCAAAAACAGGTTGGGACAATCAAAATTTATTTTCGGGACAGTGCTGGAACAATAGGAAGAAAAGTTAATTTCGAGGCCTTTTCCTCATTGTGTTTTTATGTGGGCCTTAGGGACGGTGACTACAGCCTACAGGAGTTGTAAAGATTGACGTATAGAGTATTGTAAATGTTTACGGTGCTACTTCGAGTTCACTGCCAAACGCTGTGTTTATAGCCAATTCTGCATTGTTTCGAGGATAATTATGATGAGGTTGGAATAACGTCCAGATGGAAATCTCTAAGCAGGGAAAATTGTTACTGTCTGACAGAAAAATGTTACGACGTGCATTCCCATTGTATTTGCTAGGGGATCAGCGAGAATGCGAAATCTCGGAGCGGAAAACTTGAAATGACATATTCTCAATGACTCAAGTCAACCATGGAGGATGGTAATGGATTACATACATGTATGCCCTGGGGAATCCAGTCACCGCAGCATCTCATTATAACTACAGCCTTGTTCTGTTAGATCCAGTCTGCTACACAGGATGAGGACCCAGTTTACACACCAGCAAAAACCTTAGTAAAGTCTAAGCAAGTAAAAAGATAACAAAACTGCGTACCCACACAAGCGTACAAAATTGGTGTACTGCGCATTAAATTTTTCCTATGCTTTGACATACATTTTGTAAGCCTTCATGTAACGTACGATCTAAGCAAAGCAAGTCTAAGCAAGTAAAAAGATAAGAAAACTGCATACCCACACAAGCGTACACAAATTGCGTACTGCACATTAAATTTTTCCTGTGGTTTGACACACATTTTGTAAGCCTTCAAGGTAACATACGATCTGATTGTACGCTCTTGACGTGCGTCAAACCAAGCTGATTTACACCCACAAAAAATTTGACGTACACACTTTTTGTACGCTCCAGTTCGTACATCACGTTTTTACCTGCGTGTGTAAATCTGGTCAAGTAGAAGTTCAACCTACCTTCTAACTTTTGAAGATGATGTGTACATAATGTAGATTTACTGACCTAGCTACTTGAACTTGAAGTTACCCTGCGAAATACTTGTTCTTCCATGTTGTATGTGGCAAATGATTTGTATCTTGGTTTTACAATTGTGAAGAATGTAGATTTACACAAATTACTGACCCACCTGAACTTGAAGTTACACTGCACACACAAAGATCTGTTGCAAGGAAATACTTGTCCTTCCACGTTTTACGTGGCAAATGATTTGTATCTTGGTTTTACAAATGTTTTACAAATGTGCGGAATGTAGATGTACTGACCCACTTGAACTTGAAGTTAGTCTCTGCACACACAGAGATCTGTCGCCAGGAAATACTTGTTCTTTCATGGTGTACGTGGCAAATGATTTGTATCTTGGTTGTACAAATGTGTTCCTCATGATCAGTTTTTAGTACTTTGACATTCACACCAGTGACCTGTCTTGCAAGATGTATGGGTGATATTTCTCCCTTGGGAAAACAGGACTCTGATTACCAGTAAGTCCATCTTTTCAGTGCCCACTGAATGGTATGATTGATATTGTATGATTAGTTTTTCCAAGGACATTAAGGACTTTCAAGTAAGTTGTTATATAATTGAGTGCATACAAATGTACTTTCATACCAAAAAACAACATGACCAAGAAGACTATGTCGTCATGGAATGTATATACATTTGCACATGCTTAGGTTTGTCATTCTGTCTTTCATATTTGGACATTCCACATGTATGAACAAGGAAGAGACAATTTTTTCCTTGTCGCCACCAGATCCATAAATACAGGCAAACTGGACCCTCTATAGCCAGCCGACTCCCTTGTCCAGCTACAGTGTATGTTCTTTTTAGGTTGATTTCTACTATTTATTCAGAGTGAGACTGCAAAGGAGCCTGTTGGAGACTACTTTTTTCCTAGTCTTGAACCAGGTTATCAAACCTATTTTAGCTCCCGAGTCTCTTTCATCCTCTCTACATGAAAGAGACTCAGCAGCTAAAGTAGATTTGGTACCAGCCTACTTTTTTCCCACTGAAACTACAACTTGTTGTTAGTAAAAGGTGAGCTTTAGAACCAATTTCCGACAGCTTCTTATTGCCTTGTTTTCCCTCTTTCCCTTCAAGAGCCAATGGCAATTTTGTTCTAAAGAGACACCACAGGTTCATCATGACAAGAGGATAACAGATACCGATCGGGTCTCCTCTCTAGAAAATGAGGTTGGCTTGTGCAGGGGGTTAATGTTAGCGTTAATGTTCGAGTTCGCGCGAAGGGGGACATTCAGTCACGAACGCGGGCTCTCGTCCAATAGCTGGACTCCACAGGTCACATTTGTCTGATTACTTCGTCGGGAGGGGGCTTAATTTTTGGGACTAAATTGCCAGTCATCTCTTGGTTAATACGTTCTGTCGTTAATGTCTTTGTGGAGGTGACACGAAGCGTGCGTGTGTGCTGTGAGACCTCCGTGTGTAGCACATGTGCTAAACTGATGGGAAAGAAACTTCAAGGTCGTGATGTGAATT